ACAGGGACATGGAGACACACACGGACACAGGGATATAAGGACACAGGGATAACACACGGATACACACAGGGACACACAGACGCAGGGACACACAGACACGGCGATTAGGACACAGCAGCAGCACGCAGACACAGAATCACTGAATCACAGAATCGATCAGGTTGGAAGAGATGCCATGCCACAGGATTGTATCCAGATGGTTCTGAGATATCTCCAGTGAGGGAGACACCACAACCTTTCTGGTCAATCTGTTCCAGTGCACGGTCACTTGCACAAAAAAGTTTTTCCTCATGTTCAGGTGGAACTTTGTGCATCTCTTTCTGCCTGTTTCCTCTTGTCCTAGTGGTTGGCACCACCAAGAACAGCCTGGCTCCACCTTCTTGGCATCCCCCATTTTGACACTTACAGGCACTGATCAGGACACACGGGGTACCCAGGGCTGGTGCCCACACTCAGGGCCCGCACACCGGGAGGTGCTGCTGCCCTTGGGGTGTCTGCACAACCCCAGGGCTGGGGAGCGTGTGGGCCTCGTGTGTGGGTGGCACTCCTGTACACACCCGAGGGTTTTGCACTTGCAAGGTATCCCACACGTGCTTTGCGCTGGGGACGTTTGGTGGCACATGGCAGGACAGGCCACAGCTGTGCTGTGGTGTCCCTGGGCCCCTCTCTGTGCTACCGTGTGGAGATGCCCCTGGCACTGTGTGTTTGGCAGAGCAACCCAAGTTTGTCACAGTTCCTGTGGCACATTGAGGAAGGCAGTATGGTGTCCAGAGGGGTCAGGCATCGCGGGGTTCTGCTGCTAAGCGAAACACTCCTGTTTCTCAGCAGGACCTGCCTATCCCAATTCCCAGTGGTATCCAGGGGCAGTGGCTGCCCCTCAAGTGGGGCTGCAGGTTTGCACCCCGGGGGCTCAGTGCCTGCACAGCCCCCCTGCCTGTGGCAGCATAGGGGATGAGGGTTACAGCAGCACCGTCCATGTGAGGAGGAAGATAGGGACCTGAGGAAACACCGATGAAATAATCTACCCTCAAAATCTGACACGCTTGGGAGCCACCGTGCAGCTGTTGGTATCCTGGTGTGTCCATCACCCTTACAGCCTGAGGATGAGGGTGGAGTGCTTGATTCTGTGTCACAGGAACTGTGGCATTAGGATTTGAAAGTTTAAAGGGATAATGACTTAAATATGGCAATTGTTTCTGATCCCTCCTGTCTCAGCCTCCTCCAGCTAGTGAGATTAGTGCCATACTGACTCCCTGCTCAGCCCCTGTAGCCCTCCCAGGGCAAGAAAGCTCTCTGCAGCACACCCACACCACCAGGGTCCCACCAGCGTGTAGAATGTTTCCAGCAGATTTACAACATTCTACATCCACATAGCTGTTTCTTCATGCCAGTAAAAGCAGCAGGAGCTGAGTGTCACTGCCCCCCAAAGCCACAATGCACGTTTGCTGGCACGGCTCAGGCAATGGGGGGGTGCCCACACATCCAACCCCAGAGAGCTGGAAAGAGCTCCAGGCTCCTGGAGCAAACCAGTTCACTTCAGCCATGGTTGTTATGTTGCATTGCCTTCCTGCTCTGGCAGTGCCACGACCTCAGAGGAGGTCATGCTGAGCCCTCCTGCCTGCTCACAAAGGCCACGCAGCTGGGAAGGTACAAAAGCCCTGAAGCAGGTATTTTTGTTTCATTTTTAATGAGTTGCATGAATGCTATTCAAGCAGAGTTGTCCTGGTGCCTGGTGAACACCTGCCAGGGCAGATGCAGTGCCAGCGGGCACCCGGCACTTGGAACAGCAGGGAGCAGGGTGTCAGGCAGAGCCTGCTGTCTCTCCAAGTTCAGGGAAAAGCCTCTGGAAGAGAAAACAAGGGAGCAGACCCATCTCTTTCTGTCTGCTTACAAGTATAGTCAGGGCTGACCTCTTAGAAGTGCAGGACCGGATTCCCTAGAGGCGAGAGAGGACACATATAGACACCTGGGATGGAGTGATGCTGAGTTTCTGGACATTTTTAGACTTAAAATACAAAGGGCCAGATCTGATTTCTAGCAAGGAGGTCTGCTGACTTAGCAGCAGCATATGTCTACAGCCTTGCACTGGGAAACTTTCAAGGCCACAGTGTCAGTTCCCAGGCTGCAGGACCAACCCACCACGTCTGCATATTGCTGCTGCTAAGGCAGTGCCAACAGACACTGTAGATTCCTAGCAGGCCCAGAAACATCAAGACAAAAATGGGGAAAACACCTGGAGCTGTGTGATAAATGATTTTTTCCCAGGACTAATACTTGCACATCACATCTCATACCCTTTTCCATCCATGTACTGGAGGACTCACAGCAACAGCAGAGGTTCATGTCTGCACTTCAGGGTTTCTTTTCTTCATCCATTAGCATTGCCTCAATTGCAAAAGTCAGAGCAAGGCAAAAAGAAAAGGGGAAGAGTGATAGAGGGAATGACAGGAAAGAGTAACTCTGGGCTGGCAAACTATAGTTAGCAAAGAGGTTATTAAATTTCTCAATTACATAGAGAAATTCTAATGGATAATAAAGCAAGCAACAAAGTTCATCGCTGGTCTGGTGCTGTGTCACTGTGTGCTGGGAGTTACATCTCAGCAGGGCAGTTGACTTGATCAGTGGGAATCATTTTGTCGGTGTCGATCTTGTAGGACTGGAGAACACTCTTCAGGTGCTCCACGGTTTCTGGGTGCAGTTCAGGAGCTCTTGATAAAATCCAGGCGTAGTCCATATGGAAGAGCCAGAGGATGTTAGTGCAGGAGTAAACCAGTGAGTAGTTTTCATAGTCGGTGGAGACAACCCAGTAAGGGGCAGCAGGCATGACTGGGAGAGAGAAGAGTGCTGTGAGTGTGATGAAAAACCGACTCTGGATGGCTCTGCAGCACTACAGCCACAGCTCCTGGGGCTGTTCCCACTTTGGCTGCTCCATAATTGTGGTCAGTACAGGGAACTATAATTTATACAAGCCTACCAGGACTCCTTGTTCTGCCCAGATAAACTCCAGAGAACCACAAAGCCCTGACTAGGAAGGACTTGCTGGAAAGTTAACACTATGACCTGAACAGCTCACCTGGGCCACTGAAAGCCAGCCCAGCTCATACACGTGTGAGGGTTCTTGCTGGTGGGAAGGAGCTGACACTGGTAATCCAAGGAGCACAAACCACCACCCACTGCCACGGGGAGCCCTGGCTCGTGGAGCCAGCTGGAGCCCAGCAGTGGGAATCAGTATAGCTCAGCCCATCCCAGCTAAGCCAAATTTCCTTCTCCGTCAGGCAGCTACACCCAAAGCATCTGCTCTGATGATGGGCAGCTACTCCAGCTTCAAACCACCAGGTGGAAAGCAAAGGGGGGTCCAGCAGGCAGGTGTAAGTGCCCTGGGATTTATTTCTGATGCCCTTAGGAGTGCCAGGCACTGTTCTCTGGGGTTCACGTCTGGTGAAGGTGGTTGGGGCTACACATGCTGCAACTGAAATGGCTGTGGGTGATGCCTTCGCAGCACAGAATGAAGTCTGGCCGTGCTCATGAACAATCATTGTATCTCCTTTGCAAGTACCCCCGTTCCACCCATATCTGCAAATAAACCTTCTGTGAGGGAGGGCTGTGAAACAGCCAAGGAAAAGGTGTGAGGGAGCAGAATAAAAAGGGAGACTGATGCTCACTTTCCAAAGTGTTGCTGCAGACAGAGGAAAGTGCTGTGTAACACAAATAAAATGCACTGCACCTCAGCAGGCCCCTGTCAAGTGTTACAGTGACAAGGGAAGGAAAAAGCAAATAAAAACATTTTAAGGGTTGTTAAAAGGCACTTATAAGTAGAGGCAGAGTGGGCTACTAGCTCTACCGCTGTGTGCGGAGAAACAAGCCTATTCCTGGTCCTTACAGTGGCTGTGGGGCTGCCTCCCCCACCTCCTCTCCTCCCTGTCCCCATCTGTGAAATGACCTGGAGGAACAGTAATGCGGCTGATCTTCCTTGCTTTGAGATCAGCTGGTGATGAGAGCTCCACCACTGAGTGGGCTGTTGCTGTAAATGGCATATCAGTATCACCAAACCACTGCCTGCTGGTCCCAAAGTCTGTCCTAACCCTTTGCTACTGCCCCATTGTGCCGTGCTGAAGTCACCAGGAGAGCTTCACCCCTTGCTTTGCTGTCTCTGACCCCTGATGCCGTGGCAGCAGTGCCTGCTTCGTGCTGCCCGTGGTGGTGCTCAGACCACAGCACAGCCGTGGCCACGGGCACCGGGAGCCTCCCCACCACACACTTACACCAGTTAAAGCGGACGCCCAGCTTGGCCGGCTGCTTTACATCCATGTGCATGAGCTCTCCTTCAGCTTCATTGACTTTGCCATTGGAACTAGGGGGAGAATGACAAAGGTGAGAAATAAAGTCAGGAGAGTGGGAAATAATTGTGGTTTTTTGCTTCCACTGAATCATCCCTCCTGACACATCCACTGTCAGGAGGTGGCTGAAACAGGTACTAGTGAACCTCAGCATTCCTGGAGGGACAGCTCACCCCTGAGGATGAGCTGCACCCAGGGCACAGCAGATCCTGGGCCAGGTGCAGCAGGTCAAATGGTGTCCCAGGTCAA